AGTTTATAATGGATTACAGAGAGAGCTTCAGCGTTAAATGACAAGTAAAGCAGGATGGAAAACATCTGTAAAGAAACATTTAGTCAGGGGAATAAACCCACAACAATGGGGAATTGTATAATTGAAGCACATAATCAATATTCATTAGGTAATATGTGAAATTCACATGCAAAGCCTATTGAAGGAGTCTCAGGAAATCATTAGATCTCTCAAAAGGTCTCCAGGCGGATAAACATGAACAATATGAGGCAGTAAACAGAAGGATCCATTCATTTGCATGCGAGTGATTATGAAGGATATGCAGGAAAATTGCAGCCATGCAAGTAAACATTGAGAGAAAGATGAGGTATCATTTCATAAGGTGACTATGAGAAAATGCAGGGAAAAGGGAGTTTAAAAAACAGAGAAGGTGGATTAAAGCACTAACAAACCAAAAAACATGAACACAAATTTCACTATTTCCAGTTCTGTGTGACATTTGGATATATCTAAATAATTTACGGCAGACTAAATGGCATTTATCACAGCCAGATGCTAAGTGAAGGAGCGTCACCAACCTGCTGTCTGCACCGGGTTGATTCCGATGCCATCTTCACAAAAAATAATCACAAAGAACATCAGCATCAGCATTAGCATCGCAATGTGAATACATACACAAAACAATCATTCGTAAAGACAATCAATGAATTAGACAGATGGGCAAGAGCACAGAGAAACCCTTGACGTGCTGAAATGCTTAACTATCACAATTCAAACAATCTCATTTACAATAACTGTCCTGTTCTGTGAGTGGTGAGTTATATCTTCGCTCTGTTAATGATTTGTTTAATAATCACTTATGATGCAGCATAGCCCCTGTAGTCTCCCTCTATAACTATGTAATTACACAAATCAGTTACTGATTACAGAACCGGCTTTACTGACGAGATGCGCATTAAATATCGTGCGATATTTATCGTGCAGCCCTAGTTTATGTATAATAGTAACCCTAGAATATGATGAAAGAGTTTAAAATGGGTTAATAGTTGAGCTGAGATATATGAGAACATTGATGACTGCAGAAATATATGAATATTTCAGCCACTCAATGAGATCAAAGATATTTGCAAAAACTTAACACTTGGCATGTTAAAAATCATCCAAAATAACCGGCGACCATAAGCATTGCAGGTGCTCTGAGCTGAGCTGGTAAATCAGCCTGTTTGAATGGCCCTTGATAGAGCACTCTCACCCACACAGAATGTGTCTGCCCACCCATCAGACACAATATGACATCCATAGATTACCACTGACCACAGAACTATTACAGTGATTGTAATCAATATGGCAGACAGATGAAGAACACTTGTTTTTTTCGCCCCCATGCACTGGCCAATTTTGAGGTTTTTGGCTATTTTTCTTCAACAACATGTTATGCTTCTTTCAGACTAGGAGAAAGAAAAATTTACAGTTTATTTGACAACAGTTGATCTATTTGCTTCAATTGCAATGGGGGGGGGGGGGGGGGGGGGGGGGACTATTTAATTCTTCGAGCTAAAGAGCTAGGGCACATATTAATAAATGTTCTTATCAGAATCAATAAAATCAACCAAAGGCTAATACAACCGTTAAAACATGAATATGAATATGTAATGCCTGTCGTTTATTGAATGATGTGTCACTCACACTTTATATGGTAACCGAGGGTCCGACGTCAGCGTGATTTTAAACGTTACTTTCGACCTAATGCAGACAAAGACACATATTCACGGAGTTAATTATAAATAAGATACATTATATCACTGAAACAAAGTGCTGTTATATTATAAATGGTTTACTTACATTTTACTGACTTGTATGACAGGACCGCACACTATTTACACCGACCCGGAAAGAGCAAGGACCCGCTGTAACACGTCATCTGTTCGATGGACCTCTCTTTTCCGTCGTTCTTTATTTTTTCCCCTTTTTAATCTTATAATGTTACACTTAATCGATTCGATCATATTTGTGTATTTTAGAGAATTAAAAAAAATAATATGATGAGCAGATAAAACAGAAAATGTTGCGGCTTGTGCATTTCAGTCAGGCACGTTTCAAGCTGACCCGGAGTGGGTATTACGGTATTACCGTAAAGCTGAGCGTTTAAGAGCGTGTAAAAATGAAGGGAAACAGTTATGAATTGCATATACAAAGGCTCGAAAAGTAATTTTACCCTTGAGGCACACTTAAATTGTGTAAATATTTATTCCATTGCTTTAAAAACTATAAAAAAGTGGTAGGCTTATCTGCAACCAAATTATGCCATTCTTTAGCCTAACAAAATTGCCTTTAACTGGCTGGTCTAAATGTCATGTATAATGGATATGAAATCATTTCCTTTTGTCATTTGAAACTTAACATATTTTTGTTAAATGTTTTGAGTTAAAGTGTGCTTGCGTTACAGGTTATTTAAATATGAAATTATTCCTACAAATAGGAAACAAAAAAAAAAATCATTTTTCAATGAATGGTCAGATTTTGATAGCTGGCGAGGAACCTTTAGAAAACCTTTAGAAAATATAGTCAACACTATTTTATTGCTAAAGCTATTTTATTTTCTGTTCCTTTTTAAGAACATAATATGGTGGACATTGGACATCTGATGTGATTAAAACTTGATTACAATTGTTTTTTAGATAATAATTGACCAAACATGTCTAATAGGTCTCATGGCAAAATCAGTGTTGTTTGATCCAATTTGTGCTTTTAGATAAACGTTTGGAATTAAGAATACTTTTTAAAGACAGTGTATCTTTAAATTAAACTGAATTATATGAGGTCTATGAACCCTGTTTTAAAATACTGTAATTACCATCTTGTTGTTCAAAGACTTTGACTTAACATCATTTATAAATAAAGAGGTTCTGGAATAGAAGCACAAAGCAATAATTTAAAACATTTGCATTAGTTTTGTTCACACCAGTAGTCAGTCACCACTTTTTTTTTCTTATCCATTTTTGTTATGAAAGTTAATTCACAGCTACTCTGGGAGGCATAGTGTTGTATTTCACTCTTTTAAAAAAACTGCATTATTTCTTGGCAGAAGTTCAGAGGACTCAGTAAGCATATTAATTATTTTTTTCTCTCTCCATATCTCCAATGCAGACGGCTGAACCAATGAGCCTCAGGTTCAAAATAAGCTAGAATACCCAGGATCAACACAGATAGAAATAGGCCTGCGTATTATACTCATACAATTTTTCATATGCAAAAAGCCCACTTAGGCCCAATTAGGAATCGGGGGTGGACTGGTGTTGGAACAACTGATTAATCATATTTTAAATACACATTTGCCATAATCTGTTTCGCCCAGAGGTGTATTTTCTGGCTGGTCTCAGAGTGAAGCTTATAAAGCGCTGGTGGCTGCTGGATTTAAGGAGGGCTGTAAGCTAACTTGAGTCTCATGAGTCATCCTCATAAAGCCAACCCTGCTTGCTGGCACCGCAGGGCACACTGCCAGCAGCTTTCCTAGAGGGACATGTGGGTGTTGAAGAAAACAGACTTCTCAGTGTGACTCGAAACCCAAATCCACTAGACGCTGACAGTTTTGAGTCTATTATGCTTTTGTCACAGGTTTATTGAAACCACTTAGATAAAGTGGAAAAGTTATTCTTCTGAATACAAACCAGAGAATAGCTCCTCTACGGCGTTAATGACACTGAATAAAGTTGTTTTGTATCAAATGCAAGCTACTGAGTTTGCTAAGAATCTGCAAATCTTTTATTTCCAAATCGCGCTTAGAGGCAGGAGCCATGACACCTTCAAAACACAAACATTCAATTATGGACACTAAGCCTTCAGCAGACATGCACACAGAAAAACCTTTGAACAAAAGCCTGTTCGTTTCTTTGACAAACATCTCCTGAAGGCTAAATCCAAATCATGTCCTGTGCTGAAGCCCGTAGTGAGTCATTTGTGGCGACAAGCAGCTGTGCGGTTCCCGTGGTGATGAGGATGAGACACAAAAATCATCGCTTATACTGTCAGATGAGCTTTTTTGTTGAGAAAATCTAACGAATAATTCAGCTGTGGCAACTGAAGACAAATAATAGATGTGGTTAATATTTTAAATAACGTAAAATTATATCAGGATTATTTGCATTTTAGGAGCCAGAACTGTTAAAAAAATGCAAATAGCTACTTATTTATTCAATTTTAATGTATCTTTTCATGTGTTGTATTTTAACAAATTTTAGAGTAGAAAATGTCATATTTATTGACTGGTTACTTACAAAATATGATGCAACAATATATTCTACAAAAATTTGCATGGACATCAGTCAGGGTTGTGAATAATATAATATAATATAATATAATATAATATAATATATGATGCAACAATATATTCTACAAAAATTTGCATGGACATCAGTCAGGGTTGTGAATAATATAATATAATATAATATAATATAATATAATATAATATAATATAATATAATATAATATAATATAATATAATATAATATAATATAATATAATATAATATAATATAATATAATATAATATAATATAATATAATATAATATAATATAATATAATATAATATAATATAATATAATAAATGATAATTACGACGATACAGATGTCTTTACATCTACAAACAATATTCAACAAGAAATATTAGAAATAATACTCTATTTTGATTGAAGTTTACAAAGATAAGCATTTCTTGCTGTCCATGGTGCTGAAAACGGAACTGTATAATCTAAAGCAAAAGACCCGAAGAACTTGTGTCAATATTATAAAAGCAATGCAACCTTACAGGAAAAATATAGAGAAACCAGTTCACCCCAAGCAGGGACTGTTCAGGTTTTTAGTATCCTTAAACTAAACTTAAAAAAAAATTTTTTTTGTACAATTATTCAATTGATTTCAACAAATGAGCAAAAGTGAGATATCCAAGGAGTAAAAATTCTAATATGTGATTTAAATGAGTCATATTTTTGGAGGATGATGAATCTTTGTTTGCTTTGTTTATAAAAATAAAACCTTTCACACCTACACGTTTGGTCCTTCTGTACCGTGATTTCATAGCCATTGGGTTTGCATTCGCTGAAACATTTTCATAGGCAACCATAGGACTTTTTCATACCCATTTCCTTTTTCATTGTCTTGAGTGTGACACCTCACCTGGGCTTTAAATGACACACAGAGTCAGTTTGTGGTTCCTTAGGGCTTGACAGCAGAATCTGGATGGCTATTTCAGGCAGAACTGGGTTGTTTTCAGGAGGAAGGAGGATTTGGACAGGCTTAGAACATCTGCTGGCTCTTGATAAGGGCAAAGGATTGTGGCGTTCTCAGTGCAGTGGAACAGACATGCATTAAGGAGGCCCCGGACTGCCCTCAGGGATATGAGCTCCTAAATTTCCAGCAGGGGTTCAGATAAAAAATCGGCAGCTGGCAGCAGGAAGTGGCTGCCATTGACAGCCGGAAGGCAGTTACTGGCAGCCGGAAGGTGGGAGGGACCTGCCATTCGATGGCAGCCAATCAGTATCGACCAACTTGGACGCAACCAATCACATATAACTATGACAGCAGCCAAAAACTTCAGTGGCGATTGCTCGAGTGGTAAGTTCGGAAATTAGTGATTGGAGTAATGAATAATTGTTATCTTAGTGAACGATAGTATAACTTTGCCTACCTTAGTTTAATTGTTCAATGTAATCTAATTAGTGGTAGAAACGTAGTTTGTGAAGTCATGTATAATCGTGGCTCTTAGTATGTTAGGGGCTACCATTAACTTAAAATATTACGTTTAACAAATATTAACGTTTGTTAACAGAGTATATTGAATAATATAAAGCGAATGTTGTTTGACTGGAATTATAGAAGATACACATGCAACACTAACCATATCTTTTAGTGTTTAATTTTTCAGGAGATTGTCTGATATCCATTATCCTTATTGATTCTTTTTTCGTCTTACAATAACAACTGACCAAACAGTTCTATTAAGAACTACTCTTCTTTCTCTGCCTTATGACTTCTTTCCCTTATTTTTGTCTTCACCTTTTGTGTACCTGACTATCGTTTATGACAGGTAAGAAGCCATTTCATTTCCAAAATCTTACTAACTTAATTTGAACAGAACATGCAAAAGCTTATCCATACTTCTGAAATGTTCTACCTTTTATATGTGAATGAGTTTGTTTTGCTATTTTGAGGTATGTTGTTTTCTCTAATACAATGCATGTGTAGGTGTACCACTTGCTTTTGGAATAGACAACGTCTATTCTGGGACAGGCTGTTGTCCTACACTGAACAGCTGGGGTGATGTCAAATCCTGAACACTTTCACTTTTATATTTTGAGGATAATGGCATCCGTAAGCATTGTACAAACCACACATGCATTTTACACATTTGTTCATGCTGGATGTGAGTTAAAATGTATTAACTTGCTCTTGTCTTTCTAGAAAAATATTGCATTCCTTGCTTTTGTTTGAATTCCCGACAAAGGAAGAGGTGACATTGGCATTGCCCTGAGTGCCAGCATATCTTGTTGTGCCCCTGACTTTAAAAAGCACCTCCATAATCATTCCGGCCAAGGAGGCCGTCTATGAACTCTCTGCTCGTCCTGTTCTGGCCAAGGAGGCCACCTATGAACTCCCTGTTCATCCTGTTACAGTTATAGAGGCCGTCTGCCAACTCCCGGCTCGTCCTGTCACGGCTATGGAGGCCGTTAGTGAATTCTTTATGTGCTTTGTGTCTGCCAAGGAGGTCGTTTGTGAACTTCTTTCCTGTCCCGACCCAGCCAAGAAGGCTGCCTCTGAACGCGCAGCCTTGTCTATCAACCCCAATGTTCTGTCTGTGTTGTCTGTCTCTGCTCTCTCGTTGTTACAGTTTCCACCATGGTCTCCTGGTCGGTGTGGTTCACCGGGGGGGTTTCCTGTTCCTTCTG